TTTTATCTGTTAAGGGAAAGGAATTTTTGTCTTGGATATGTTTACTATGTTCTTGATCTTTAACCAGTCTAATCTAAATCAGCATCATAGGTCTAGCAAAGAGAAGATCTTAAATCTTCTAACCGACCGACATTAATATAGCTAAGGATAGGCTTCTTTTAGCGAACAATTATCGGTTTTGATATTCTTTGAGGAATTGTTTTCAATTATTTTCCTTTATTATAAAGCAATACACCTTCGAGCCATAGTTAAACCATTAGTTAATCCAAGGACTTAACCTTCATCTCCCTTTTAGCTACAAAACCAATTTATGGTTTCTTTCTGGTTTTAGACATCACCTTATTTTCAGATTTAAATGTCCTCTCTCTTCCATGTTGAACTGTATTTATTTAGTGAAATGCCTGTGTTACTAACTAGCTTATTGCTAACTTCTTTTTTTTCAGTTTGCCCATAGATCATGCCTTCAAAAGTGGTGTAATGAGAAGGAAGGTATCATCTGTGAAATCTGCAAAAAGGTTAGTATCTCCTGTCTGCGACTTTTGTATACTAACATACCTGACTATCTGTCTTTGTGTACGCATGCATGTTACTTTGGGGCTTTTGGGTGGGTGAGTGTGAATTGTATTTCTTGGTTGGCTTGAAATAGTTATTATGAAGTGAATCTAGATTCACTATACCTATACCACTTTTAGATATGTTTTGCTAGACTTGCTACTAACATGTACTCACTCGCAACCGTGTGATATATTTTCCCTCACTTTGGTAAAGTTTACTTTTATATAGGCTAACTTATGCATATATTGTTCCTGATACAAACATTTTGAAAGAATTTTTTGAATTTTATCCTTCTGTGCTTTTGCTTTTTAACTCCCACCTATAAGTTGTTTGAATTTCTGTGGATCTAGCAAGTGTATGAACAACTTTTGTTTCTATTATGCATTTATGCCGAAATGTAGACCATATGGGTGTCTAGCTCCTTCAAGGAAAAGCTATGACTAAGGAACTGCTAAAAGTTTATTTCCTTTCTTACCCCTTGAAAGTTCAAACCGGTGCAAAATAATCGGCATATGGCAGGCAAAGGAGCAAATTGTAAAAGAAAGTGTCATGCTGGCTTATTTTGATAGCCAGCTGAAAATCATACTGCCATAACATTTTTCTCTATTCTAATTAATCAGTTCTTTTATTTTGTAACATAGAAAGATCTGCACCTTTAATTAGTTTTAATACTCGTTTATCTCCGATGCACTCCAAATACACCCAGGAAGGAAAAAAAAAATATAACAAAGGAAAAAGCATAATTTTCCGGGGGCACTGCGCTAGTTTTTCTTTTATTGAAAAGCTGCAGGCTAAGAAAGTAGTAGTTTATATCTTTCCTTTATCTTCTTGTTTCTTAAGCTTGTCTCTTCCCAAAAACTGAATTATTGGCATTATCATTGAAGGGGAAAAAGAGAAATGAAAGGATGTCTGTTCATATCATGTTTGTTTATTTCTGATACAAAACAGATACCAGTTTTTCCTCTGTAAATGACAGATTTATCCCCTAAGGTACATTCCTGAAAGCAGAGGCTGGTGGGAAATGAACTCGACAAGTATCAGGTACTTGGATAAACTTCTGTCAGTGTTTCACTGGTTAACTATTCTTAGAGTTCTCTATTTTCCCGTATCTTTGTGATGGAATTTCTTGTCTCTATCATAGATAATGCAACTATTGACTATTGTGGCGAAGATGTTTTGGTTTGATGTACCATGGAGATGATCTGAAATGCTGTAAATTTGTTGGTTGGTGGCTGGTGGAATGGGATGTTAATTGATTGTTGAGATTTAGATTTGACCAGCGATTTTATAATAAGGTTAATTGTAAATACTTCCCCTGTACTATGGTGTTGAAACTACTGATACCTCATAAACTTTTTTATTGGTATTTGCACCCCTAAACCTCAGAAGATGTTACTTTCCTTGAATTTAGAAGGAAATTAATCTTTTCTTCAGTTGCATTTAGAGAGAAAGATAGTTTATAGTCAGGTGATTCCCACGCGATGTCTCAACTCTCAACCAAACGAAAATAATGCCATCTGGAATTTAAGGCGCAAGTCCTGATAAGCTATTTCAGGGCTTATATGCGGCTACACTCATTGTACAGGGGATGTTTCTGCAATTAACCCGGATAATATCATAACCCAAAATTTGAGCAACACAAAAAAGGTGGAAAACGGAAACCAAAGCATATATGGTCATGCAAGCTCAATAAACATTATGAGTCAAACTCTTGGTTTTCCCATGATAATTTCTATCAACTGCCCATCTCTAGTTAGTAATCTATATATTTTATTTATATATCCTTATTAAAACTTCAAACATAATGTCACTACTTGTAAGAAATCATGAGTGTACTTATTTTCCTTGTTTGAAACAATAAATTATGCCTCTTTAGTCAACTAGTCCAGTATTGTTCCTGTGCTTACATCCCCATTCTTTTCTTTATCAGGCAAGACTTTCTGGAGCCAATAGACGAAGAATCTCTTGCAGCAGCCTGTCTTGCTTCCACAGTATGCTTAATTTTGTTCTCATCATGAATTTCATTTATCCTTGCACCAAAAGATGCCGTAATAATGGTTATTAATTCTGTGCAGCTGCTGATGCTATTTCTCTTGCACTACATCTTTATGATAATGGGCGACTGGGGAATCGTGCAGGATGTTTCAGTATATTTCAAGGTAAGGTTTTGCTACATGCACAAATTTGGTGTTAGTATTTCATGAAGGGAAATTTCATTCTTTAGAATATTAGGAGGTATCAACTCATTATTACAACATATAGTATATATATTTATCGACATTATACTTGCTTCGTTATCAGCTACAATGTTCAACTCAAACCTATACATCGGACGCGGTTCTTGTATATAATTCATATTCATTGTTTTATTTTTTATGGTTGACAATACATCATTTTTCTAATTGATGTTTCACTTTTAAAGCATGAGATTTTCAACACATTTATGTGATAATTGACTAAATTGTAAATTTATCAACTCAGGCAACTCTCTTCATTGCTATCTTGCTTTTACCTTGCTGTGCAATTGGACGATATTGCTACAGGTTGCGAAATCAACATAGAAGGGAGGTAAATGCTCTGAACATAAATCTGTGTTTGTTGATTACTCAATTGGAAATATCGTTTTTCTCGAATAACTTGTTATAACTCTTGTGGATGTTCAACAGCATGGAGCATAATCTTTTTGATACCTCCATTCAGAGATAGACAAAGATAGTAACGAACACGAGAGCCAAATACCGTTATACTGTACATACTTACAAATTGATCTTGCTGTATGCTAAGAGAAAGCAGTCATTGTTGAGTTATTGTACATTCATCCTCTTGGAAGTGAAAATAGAAAAAGAAATTGATTGATTTTAGTTGTACTGCTTTTGTTGATTTGTTGTTGATATTGTAGTGGTTAATATTCTAATTTGAAAGGTGTAAATATCCATAATCACTGGAGTGCTTTGTTCTGTATTCCTCCAAATAGCTCTACAGCATTCAAGTTATGGAAGAAAAGCATTTGCTATGTATTTATCTTCAAGCTTATCGTTTAATCAGAAATCTGGCAAGAAGTTATTTTATCTGTGGCATACTTGTGTTATAGTATGGTGATTGGTGAGGCAAGAAAATGATTGCACATATCTTGTTGTGCGCGGCAGAAGCTCGAAACCACACGAACAAGAATGAGATAAATCACAACCAATAAGACAAACACAATACCACATTAAGACAAACGGATTTTATGTGGTTCGGCAAGTTGCCTACGTCCACGGGGCAAGGAGGGGGGAGTTTTTACTATTAGAAATCAAGAAAATACAAATAGAGTTACAAATCTCACCAAATAAACCCTAAAACAAAGCCTCTAGATTTCTCACAACTCTCCCACAATTGGATGCATCAATCTCCTCTCAAAGACTGCTCAAAAAGTCATTGCTTAACCCTAATTAATTAGAATTAAAATTATATATCAACTCAGAACGAAATAGGTCAGAAAACCAAACTCAACTGCAGACCCGACTCGCGGTCGATCGTAGAATCACGCACGGTCGATCAGATCCAACGACCGAGGCTAAAAAACCCTACAGGGTTTGGCCGGTCGACCGCAGAACCCATCGCGGTCGACCGCGGAAAGTCCAGAGACTTTTCTCAGTCGTGTGCACGTTTGCGGTCGACCGCCACATCATCCGAGGTCGACCGCGAATCTGCCAGAATGTCTCCAGCTGTTTTTCCTGCGGTCTTCGTCTCTGTGCTCGACATTTCTTCAATTCTCCAACTCGGCGAACGTTTCTACCAAAACTGAGCCGACACCAAAACATCTAAATGTCACACTTGTTGCGTCCAGGACGAAGTGAAAACAACCCACTTCAACGGACTCAATCCACAACAAGTCGGGAACCTAAACGAGAGCTCAAACACTCTCCCCCCTCATCGAAATCAACAAATCCAATCGGCTGCATCAAACAAGATTGCCTACGTATCCTCTTTCCCAAGGAATCAAGCCGAACGTAGTTCACCCAAATGGCCTCCAAAGGCCCTTAACACTGAAAAATGTTCAATAGCTTCAAACAACGACCAAATCTCACACCTGAAATAACTTTGGTCAACATATCCGCATGGTTGTCCTTCGTGTGGAGCTTCTCCAATATGACGTCTCCATCATCTAATACGTCATGAACAAAGTGGAATCTGACATCAATATGCTTCGTGCGTGCATGATAAACCAGATCTTCGCCAAATAGATAGCCGACATGCTATCACAATATACCCGAAAGGTCTCCCGTGCAATCCCCAAGTCCTCTAACAGTCCACGCAACCATAAAGTCTCCTTAATAGCTTTAGTCGCCGCCATGTACTCCGCCTCTATAGTAGAGAGAGCCACTGTAGGCTGAAGTGTACATCTCCAACATACCGGTGCTCCTGCTAATGTAAACACATATACTGAAGTAGACTGACGCTTGTCAAGATCCACCGCATAGTCTGAATCCACATAACCAATATAATCCTGCCCATTCTTCTCACTCTTCTGAAAAATCAATCCAACATCCATGGTGCCTTTAACATACCGTAGAATCCACTTCACGGCTCCCAATGACCCTTCCCGGGGTCGTGCATGTACCTTGATACCATGCTCATGGCTTGTGATAAATCTGGTCTCGTACACACCATATCATACATCAAGCTACCCATCGTACTGGCATATGGAACCTTCAACATGTAATCTCTGTCCTTAACTAAAACAGGTAACATATTAGCTGAAAGTTTGAAGTGGGAACCAATGGAGTGCTAACTGCTTTTTCATTACCATCAAACCTGAATTTCTTCAACATCTTCTGTAAGTAACTCCTTTGTGTAAGCTTCAATCTCCCCTTCACACTGTCTCTCTCGATCTCCATACCCAATATCTTCTTAGCTTCACAAAGATCCTTCATCTCGAACTCGGATGACAGCTCCTCTTTTAACTTTCGAATAGCCGAAGAATTCGTAGAAGCAATAAGCATATCGTCAACATATAAAAGCAAATATATGTGCTCACCATCCTGTAGCTTGTGCATGTAAACACATGGGTCATATGAGCTCCTCATGTACCCATAGCCAATTATGAAGCTGTTGAATCTCTTGTACTACTATCGCGACGATTGCTTTAATCCATAAAAAGATTTCTTCAGTTTGCACACTAAATCTTCTTTTCCTACAGCTTTGAATCTCAAGTATTGTGTTATGTAGATCTCCTCATCTAAATCTTCTTGTGGAAAGGCTGTCTTCACATCCATCTGGAGCAAATCCAAATCCAGCTGTGCCACCAATGCCAATAAAACCCGAATCGACGAATGCTTCATAACAGGTGAAAATACCTCATTATAATCAATGCCCTCAAGCCGTGCATATCCCTTGGCAACCAATCCAGCTTTGTACCTAATATCCCCGATAGAAGATCCCTCATTCTTCGCTTATACCCACTTGCAACCAATAGCTTTCTTACCCTTAGGTAGTTTTGCAAGTTCTCACGTGTCGTTCTTCTGAAGAGACCACATCTTCTCCTCCATAGCTTCCCTCCACCTGATCAAATCGGGGCTAGACTCTGCCTCCCTGAATGTGGATGGAACCATATTATCAATGACCTCCACTGATAATGCATATGCGATCATGACATCATTATACCTAGCTGACCGACGAATTACCCTTCTAGGTCTATTCGCTGCTATAGACTCCTAAACATGATCCTGCTCCCGAGTCTCACAATCCACTATATTCTCTATCTGCCTGGCTGTCATCCCATCTCCTCCTAGTGTTACCTCTGTAGGAACTTCAATGGATACAATGCTATCTGGAGTGGGTGGAGTCACATCATCCTCCACCTGCTGTGATATCTCTTGAATCTGGTCTTCCTCCACCTGCCGAGGAACTTGAGGCCTCATCATGTACATCTTATCAAATGTGACATCCCTGTTAATAACTATCTTCTTGTCCTGTGGATCCCATAACTTGAATTCTTTAACTCCATCTCTAAATTCTAAATCCCACCAAGACTGTCTTCCTCGCCCTCGGATTCAATTTACCATCACTAACATGATAATAAGCAGGACACCCAAATGTCCGAAGCGACTCATAGTCACTAGCTATCAAACCAGACTAACGCTCCAAAGGAGTCTTCCCCTGTATCGCAGTGCACGACAACTTATTAATGAGATGGCTCACATAAACCAATGCCTCGGCCCAAAAGGATCTAGGCAATCCACTCTGCATCATCATACATCACACCTTCTCCAGCAAGGTACGATTCATCTCTCAGCCACCCCGTTCTATTGCGGTGTCTCTCTAACTGTGAAGTGTCGTCTAATGCCGTGATCCCGACAAAACTACAGAAATTAATCACTCTTATACTCTCCACCGTTATCTGAACGTAGAGTCTTCACCTTTCTACCTGTCTGCAGCTCCACTTTCTTCTTCCACTCCACAAAAATATCCAGGATCTCATGTTTATGCTTCATAGGGTATACCCAATTCCTTCTGGAATAGTCATTAATAAAAGTAACAAAATAGTTGGCCCCACCAAGTGATGTGTTCTTGAAAGGACCCCAAACATCTGTGTGAACGTAATCCAATATGCCTTAGATGTTGTGAATAGCGGTGCCAAACTTCACTCTAGTTTTCTCCCAATTACACAATGCTCATACAACTCCATCTTGCATGTCTTAGCACCTTTTAAAAGCCTCTGTTTTGCCAATGACTGCAGGTACTTATCACCTGTGTATCCTAGTCTCATGTGCCATAGAGTGGTAGTGTCATCCTCTGTAGTGATAGAAGCTGCCAGACCACCTGTAACTGTTTTTCCCTTCAAGTAGTATAGGAAGTTTTCTCTGAGTCCTCGCATCACCACCATAGAACCCTTCGTGACCTTCACGGTAGTATCCTCTAAGGTCATCCGATAACCAGCTGCCTACAAAGTACCATGAAAAATGATGTTCTTCGTCAACTATGGTACAAACCTCACTTCTTTCAACTCCCTCACCGCACCGTCATGCATCTTGATCCGGACTGAACCAATACCACCAATAGGGTATACGTGGTCATTACCATAAGCACGACATCCCCTCTTTCCAGCTTCTCAAAGCTAGAGAACTAGTCCCTCCTCGGGCAAATATGATATGTGGCTCTCGAATCCAACATCCACTCCGTGGAGTCGGCATAGCAAACCGACGGTAGTGCATGGTACGAATAGCCCGAAGAATCTGAATCTGAATGTTCACCAACACCTTTTGCAACATTCACTTCTGAAGCTTATACATCTTTCCCCTTGTTCTTTTCGGCTTTTTCCTTTCACTTTGGGTAGTAAATCTTCTAATGTCCTTCTTCTTTATAATACCGACATTAATTTCTATAGAATATGAAAACCCTTAATTCATTATGAGATCTCTTGGGCTTTATATAGGCCCCTACGAAATTTACAAATAAGTCCCTAATAATACTAATATGTCAACAATTTCTACCAACACTTTTATAGGCACCTCTATTCTTCGATTTTGAGCGGTTGACATAGCGGTGGTTTGGACTACAGCCTCGAACTGCTAATACATCTCCCAATGCCTTCTCGAAGGGTTCACCATCACTCTTCCTCAACTCATAATTCACCAACGCTGAGGTCACCTCCTTGTAGCTAACAATAATTCTTCCATTGATCATAGTGAGAACGAACGTGTCATAATCATCCTCGGGCAACAAAACACAAAAGTAGCATCGCCTTATCTTCATCTTCAACCATGATGTCTACATTAGCTATATCTGAAAGTAGCTTCGTGAAATTATTAACATGCTCCCTAATAGAAACTCCCTTCTTTATCTTGAACTGGTAAAACATCTTCTTCAAGTGAAGCCG